CACACACACACATACAGGGCCTGGTGTGTTGGGAGAACCGACTGACGCCACTCTGCTATCTCCCCAGGACTAACCTTGGTGTCTCTGTGTAGGAGGGAGACTTCAAAGGCGGGGTCCTGGCTTTTAGCGGAGCACACGATCTCGGCAGTTTCCCCTCGAATCCGCACCAGCTCGGTAGGTTCCAGCACCAAGGCAGGGGCCCCTGAGACTGAGGCCAGAGGAGGGACTATTGAGCCATCTATGGGCCAGCCAGCTGTCCCACCCAAAGTCCTGGGAGTCAGCATGGACCCTCGATTTCTCCCCCAGACACTCCGAGGGCAAGTCCTGCGTCCATGTGGAAACTGTCTCCACCTCCCCACCACCACCTGTCCACAAGCCAGGCTCCATCCCCCTCTGCTCTGGACTCCTACACCGGCCAGCTGGAGACTGGTCTCCCTGCCTTTCCAAGTGAGGCTCCTCAGTGCCCGTAACCATGTAAATGGGATCATGCAGTTTCCTGTTGAAACACTCCACGGTCTCCCAGCCTTCTCAGACTGAAACCCCAGTCCGTTCGTTCGCAGCCCCAGACTCTGTTACTGCCCACCAAGCAGCTGCTGCCTTCTGATCCCTGCCCTGCCACACAGGCCTTCTGCCGCACCACAGGGCCTTTGTACTTGCCACCCCTCCTAGGACACTTTCCTCCCACATCCTGGGTCTTTTTTTACCGCAACAATTCCCCAGAGGGGCCTTCTGTGACCAGCTTCCATGAATTGTGGCCCTCCCACCCCCAGCTTTTGCGGGCTCAATTCCTGTGTGTCACGGTTTGTAACTGTTTTCTTACATTCTGTCTCCCCCATTGAACGTGAAGTCGGTGGAGGCAATATGCCCAGAAGCTAACACAATGCCTGACATACGAGACCCCACTGCAACCCCCTGCCACGGAGTGGATTCTGATTCACTGCAACCTAGAAAACAGAGTGGACCGTTCCCGGGACGCAGCCCTTCCTCTTTCTCCTGTGGAGCAGCTGGTGGGTTTGAACCTTGACTTTACAGTTAGTGACTCAGTGCTTAACCCCCTATGCCAGTAGGGCTCCTTTGCGTCCCCCCACCACACACACACACAAACAGAGAAACTCAGCCCTCTAGGACAGGATAGAACTGCCTCTGGGGGTTTTTGAGACTGTAGCTCTTTACGGGAATAGAAAGCTGGTGGTTTTGAACTGCTGATCTTGCAGTTAGCAGCCCAGTGTGTAACCCCCACACCCCAGGCTCCTTCTGCTACACAGTAAGTGCTACGTAACCCTCGTGACTGGCTGCTGCTGAGGGGCTCTAGTCTAGCTTCTTGAAGTGCAGAGACAGGAAGGGGGTCACCCCAGAAGCAGGGCCGGGACGGCCCAGCCAGCCCAGGGCTCTGCAGGACAGAGGTGTCCGAGAAGGGCCCGAATGGCCTCCTGTGCCTGCACACCTGGGGCTTTTGACCCCCCTGGGCAGACCCAACTGCTCTGCTCCAACCTGGCCCTCCTTCAGGCTCCTGGTCCCAGCCTGCGGCTCTGCAGCGCTTGCTAGCTGTTACCAGTTCTTTGAGAAGTGAAGATTCTAGAAACTAAGATTCTGTGGACAGCCTGGGATGTGTGTGTGTGTAAGAGAAAGACTTCTCCCACCTCGCCCCAAAACACACACACACACACACACACACACACACACACACACACACACACACAGAGCTCCTACCCAGGACTCAGGGCCAGGCTTCCTGTCCCCACCACCTAGCGGGCAGGGCGCTGCCCCTGTGGCCCCTCCCTCGGCAGGAGCAGGTTTTGGCGGGTTTGCCCTCCTCCGTGCAAATCAAATATAAGGCCCTCCCCTCTGCCCCTGCGCACGCACGAGCGCACGCACTCTCCGTGCACCTCCTTTGCTTTATCCTTCCGTTACACTACCTGACTTGTGGGTGCGTTCTTCACTTGTGGGTGTTGTCTCCCACGCCCCCACCCGTGTGTCCACCCTGCCCCAGCAGGTGTCCCAGAGATGTCTGCGGGGAGGAAGGGCTGAAAGAACTGCACCCCACGACCTGCGCCCCCAGGCCCCGCGTACCTCTCTGCACCTTGAGCTGGATGCTGGGGGACAGCTTGTTCTCGCTGCCCATCTGGGCGCTGCAGTGGTAGGCCGAGCTGTCAAGGTACTTGACCTTGTGGATGGTGATGCCTCGCCAGAGAGAGAAAGAGTATTGGGTGCCCTTCCGGACTTGCCGGTTCCGAACCCGCATCAGGGAGACGCCAGACTCCAGGTTGGGGTCGGTGAGCAGGCAGGGCAGCAGCGCGTCCTCACCCTCAAACACAGTCACCTCCTGCGTCATTATTCTCCAGGCGCGCAAAGGGTCTGGGGCAGAGGGGTACAGAGTTACTCCAGTCCACTCCCCACCAGGCCGGCTCAGCAGTGCCACCAGGCGCGCAGAGCTCGGTCTCCATCGGGTCTGGTGTCACATGCACCGAGGTCGTTGTCCCAGCCCCACAACTTGATGCTGTGTGACTTTGTGCCAGTGACTGACCACCCTGAGCCTCTGTAATGGGTTTCCTCCTAGGACCCGCCCCCTCCCTGGGGTGTTATGGGGAAGGCATTAAGTGGGAGGTGTCCCTGCAGGTCCTTGTTCATGAGAGGCACTCCGCACATGGGGACTGGTATTCCCCTGATCCACCATACCACCTCGCCCTCCCTCTCACACCACCGCCCCTGCCTAGGCCTGGGCGGGTCTGGCCAGAACAGGTCTCTTGGTGGCAGGGTGACACCCTCACCTCTCACAAAGAGGTGGATGGTGGCTTCGCCCCCTGAGGGGTCTCCAGGCTCAGTGCAGCGGTAGGTCTCCGTGTGGATAAAGGTGGCATTGGTCGTGCTCAGGGTGCTTACGGAAGCTTCTGTTTCCAGGGACCAGCCTGGGGACGTGGGGATGTCCCACTCCACGCTGTCATTGCCCGAACATCGAAGGGTCACTTTTGTGCCTTGTGCCACAACCAGCTCGGGGCCTTGGGGCTCTATAATCGGGACCCCTTGACCTAGGGGAGACAGGATTGCAGAGAAAATGAGGCCCCGGCGTTTCCAGGTGTCCCCTGCCTCTGAGATGACACCCTAGCAGGGCTGCGGTGAGTGTGGGCTGGGCGAAACCTCTGCTCGGGGGCACCTCCTGGGCTCACATTGAACGAGACAGCATGCCCCTGGTCATTAGCTAACCCCCCAGGCTCCAGCCTGCTTGGTGAGCTGATGTTTGTGATGTCCATCAGGCCTCTCTTCGGAAAAGCAGATCGTGGGAGATCTTTGAAGAGCCCTGGTGGGTGGCGTCGTGGCTACTTATAGGACAACTCACAGCAGTGTTAGCAGTTCAAAACTACCAGCTGCTCCCTGGGGGAAATAAGAGGCTAGCAGCTCACATAGAGATTTACAGTCTCAGAAACCCACAGAAGTAGTTCTATGTCCAGAGGGGCCGCTACAAATCAGAAGTCGGAACTGACCCAACAGCAGCGAGTCTGCGTGTTGTGGTTTGTGTGTGTGTGGGGTGGGGGGGGACTCTTCCCCTCCCTGCCCCATATGCTACTCTTCCCCTGGTGCTCCGTCTGCCTCCTTCCGAGCTGCAGCTGGCTCGTTCTTCTCTCCAAGGGCAGAGCTGCAGCCTTGGCCAGAGTGGGGCCTTCCAGATCCCAGACAGAGCAGTGGGGGAACCAATGGACCGTGGCCACCTCCTCTGGCTGCATTCGGATGGAGGGGAGGCCAGGGGCAGAGGCTCCCAGCCCAGCAACACGGGACAGTTTGGAAGGTTGTCCCTTGTGCCCACTCCCACCTGTGGAACGACGGCTGGCCTGAAGCACTGTAGCATGCTTCCAGTTAAGCTGCCTGGATTTCAATCCCAGACCCCCACTAGCACCTGTGAGCATTGAACCCATTATCTGAGCGCCTCACTTTCCAAATCAGAATCTGGGGCAGTAATTGCACTCATCTGTTGGGAGGACCCGAGGCTCAAATGAAGGGAAAGCTTTAGGAATCACCTGCCACCCAGGAAGGGCCCACCACCCTGGCTAGCAGGCTTGTCATCCGCTGTACCCAGCAGCCCTGCTATGTGTGCCGGAGAGCCAATCTCTTTTAAGGAAAAGTTTCTTGAAGGCGAAAAGAGAACTTAAAACCTACACCGGGCCCTCCGGGAAGAAGGCTCGTTGCCTCCTCGGTGTCAGCATTTTTCCAGCCCCTAAAATAGGGCCAAAGGAGGGAAGTGAGAGCCGAGTCAGGCCCTGGAGGAGCTGCCAGGTGCCCCCCCTGCCCCCTGGCCTACGAGAGAGCGGAAACACATTGCTGGCGCCCTGGCCCAGCCTCCGCTTTCCGCTCAGCCCACTACGCTTCTCCCAGGGAAATTCTTACTTCTGCTTCCCTGGTACTGTCTATCACCTCCCCAGCAGAGTCGGGGACATGGGTTGCCTCCTGCTGGCTGGACACTGGAATCCCCTGGGCTAGGCTGTGAAGCCTGGCTCTGCCACGGACTTCCTGGTGTCAACTCCCTGCATTCCTGTCCCTTCTGTCCAGGGCTGGAGCCCAGCAACACTCCTGCGTGGGCCTCTGCACCCCGGGATGGTCAGGGCGTCGCCACTCTGCACAACTCCTCGATTGGGTGTCCCTCCCTATATAGATGCCAGATTTGGAAAGACCCTCTCTATAAAATAGTTCCCAGAGGGCTTGATGTATGTTCGTTCGCATTTCAAATCCATGAGAGATGTATCGTTTCTCTCTGATCAGCAAGAAAGACAAAGTGAACCCCTAAATGCCGTCAAAGCCGACGACCTCTGCAGGTCTGCAGGTGGCCCTCATGTGTGGTGCGACCACCAGTGGAGGGGACAAGTGTCCTTCTGGCAGATAGAGCTGCCATTGGCCATTCCTCCCAGAGCAGCGGGGACACCCCTGCACCTCCTCCCCACTCCCCCGCCCTGCCGAGGCATTTTCCGCCAGGACAGAGTTTGAGCGGCGCGATTGCACCCACTGCAGTATGGAACCTGCTTCTCCCTCTTAGTGGCGGCCAGCTCCCCGCTCAGGCGCCTCCTTTGCGCAAGAAGAATGAGTTGAGTCCCTATATCTGATAGCAGCTGCCACTGAGCCCGCGCTGACTCCTGGAGACCCTCCCTGTGGGGTGTCCCAGTAGAACTGAGCTCCACAGGGTTTTCGAGGGCTGCTTTTTCACAGACAGATACTCAGGCCTTTCTTCTGACGTCCCGAGTAGAATAAGGAGCCCTGGTGGTGTAGTGGTTATGCACTGGGCTGTGATCCTCTTGGTCACTGGTTCGAAACCATCAGCAGGTCCTCGGGAGAAAGACTGGAGTTTCTGCCCCCGTCAACAATTACAGGCTGAGAAACCCTATGAGTCAGCCCGTTTGGAGCTTCTGCAGAATAGAATCACCAGCCCTTGGTGAGCAGTAGAGCCTGGGAACCGTGTGCACCACCCAGGTCTCCCACCCCTGAGAAAGCTTGGGGGGATTCAATGTGGTAACATGCAGTCCTGTGCCCCCACCCAAGTCAATGGCTCCAGGCTGTGGACTCCTTGTGTCCATCCACATTTCTAAGATATCTTCAAGCCAGTGATTCCGTGCTGTGTTCGGCGTCTGCACTCCCTGACCACACAGGCAGCTTCCTCTCCCTCTCCTGTCCCTCTAGCTCCTGCCTGGCCATCCTGGAAGTGTGGTCAGAGGGCCACCTGCTCTGTCGGCTTCTATCCTATTGTCCCGGCCATCACACAGAACAGAGCTGACCCCCTGCTGGCACGCTGGCAGGAAGAGAAAGTGCCAGGCGGGGACTTGATGCACACCAGCCCTGACCCCCTTTGCACCTGTCTGCCTTCAGCTCTCAGCTTCCAGGTCCCACCCCCCAACTGGCCTGACCAGACCCCTTCATCATCAGCTCCCAGGATGTGCGCCCACTTCTCCCAGCACACACAGTCCCCCGAGACCTGGGACTCAGCCTCTCCTCAACCCCAGCATCACACCCCAGTGCGCAGGAGAAGTGAGCCTCTCCCCAAAGCTCAGGGGCTCCGGCTCCACTCCCTGACCCTGTCAGAGCACTTGGACACACGCCTCACTTACCGCTGGCTTACGGTGGGCTTACAGCCCCCGTCTCTTCTGTCACTTGAAGCTGGGTGCTGGACAGCCCCCCTTATCTCCCTATAGGCAGGTCCTGGTGGATGAGGGCAGGACAAGACAGCACAAGCACACTCAAGGATTACCATCAGGGCGAGGAGGATGTTCTCTGTCTTAGTTGGAATGCTGGCTGCACAAGTATACATCTGTTAAAACGTACACTTAAGAACCTGTGTTTTCTGTTGTACGTAAACCATACATCAATAACAAAGAATAGACACTCCAGCCCAGTGGGATCCACGGGGTCAGAAACAGACCCTGAAGGCCCCATCTCCTGAAAATCCTGCAGCCCTGGCGTGCCCGGTGACCAGAGCTATCCGCTGTCACACTGTCAAGGAGTGGCCTGGAGCTTTGCCCATCACCCCCAATCTCCATCACCATCCCCTTCAAACACGCAAAATAGTCCACTGTGGATGAGCTGATTCCGGCTCCTAGAAATTCTGTAGGGTAGCGGAGAAATGCTCCCTAGGGTCTCTGAGGTTGTACATCTCTGGGGGAACAGACAGTCTCATCTTTCTCCCACAGAGCAACTGGAGGGTTAGAACCCGCCCACCTTATGGACCGGGGTAGTTCTACTGCACCCATCATCCACTGCCTCTCCAAAGCAGACACCCTCAGACCTGTAGTCCCATGTTGGAGAGCAGGCAGCACAGTGCGTGGGCACTCAGAGACGGGTTCACAGCGCCCGTCTGAGGTCTTCTTCAGTCACGTCCCCTCCCCACGCCCTCCCCTCCCGGGGGTTCTTACCATGCCAAGCTGTCGCCACCAGCAGGACCAGCCGAGCCCAGGGGCCCATGGTCATGGTGCGGAAGAGGCCAGGCTGATGCAGGACTGACGGAGGAGCAGGGCTCTGGCTCCCACTTACTAGCTTCAAGGGAGTCAGGATCACTGGCCCGTGTTCCTCTTCAGGACTCTGGCTGCTGCCTCCCTCCTCTTCTTCCTCCTCTTTGGGCTGGTCTCCTGCTTCCTCTTTTGTTTTGTTTTTTTTTGCTAGGCAAGGCAACCACAGGGTTTGGAAATCTTAGGTCTTTAGAAGAAAACAAAGCCATGACCTGCAGGGAGTGAGCTTGGAGCCTAGGGCGGGGTTGGCCTGATTCTTTGGAGATACAGCTAAGTTTAGGGCCACCATCTGAAGCTACATCTGGGGGGATGTGGGACAAATAAGGGATCTCCAGAGGGGCCAGGGGGCTCTGGGTGAACCAAAATGGACACCAGACTGACTTGAGGAAGTCTGATTGTGGCAGAAAGAAGCTTCCATTCCCAGGAAAGCCTTCTCCATCCATTTTCTGCTTGGGTCCCTGCAAAAACTTTATGTGGAGTATTGGAATTAGTCCCATTTCCCAGATGGGAAAACTGAGTCTCAGAGAGATCAGGAAACCTGAGCGTGCTCTTGGCCACACGGCGACCTGTGGTGGAGATGGGCCAGTGTAGTTACTGAGGAGAGGCAGCGGAAACCCTTTGGACTGGAGCATATATGCGTTGGGCCCAGACATACAGCAAGGGGTAGCAAAGGGTTATTGCAAGAGCCCTGTCTGTACCCAAGACGCAGGGCTGCAGTGGCTACCTAAAAGGGAGGCTGACTCAGAGCAGCAGAGGATCCCCCACCCCTCCTCAGCAGGCTGACCAGTGTGCAGAAACAAGTAACCGCAGACTGCTACGGGGAGCCTCCATGAGATAGATGCAGGGCGAATGGAGACCCGACTTTGAGGGTGGAACAGAAAT